AGAATATGTAATAGCCCAATGCTGAGCCTTACACACTCAGCAATAGATACATTAGTCTGGGTATATAAGCCCGGACTCAGAAGAATAAAAATCAATACAAAACTAAACACCATCATAGTCAAGTGTATTCGTTCATCTGAGATCGACGCGTTCAGACATACCGACAGGGCTAAATCGACTCAGCTCGTCGCTCTGATAAAGAATATATGTACATATATTTATACTTTGTGGAGTATTCCACGCCTCCCTCTGCCTGTTACATACATTTCAACAAAACCATTTTACCCTGGATTACCATTACAGCAGAAAAAAATTGCTAATTCATACACCCAAGGAAATTAAATTGTTAGCTTAATCTCTTCAGAGAGAAATATTCCACACAACATGTAGTAAAAGCACTGATCAAGAACTGCTCCAATGAAAAAGTAAGTCATAATGGAAGTAGGACACTAGTCCAACATGGGTGCAGCCTTGTCCAAGTTCGTGAACAGTTGCACAGAAGCCTCAGGTCAGCAACAAAATGCGCTATACAAATAGGCGAATGAATAATAGCTATAATAGGGGTAACCGAGGTTATTAGCATGGTAGAGGAAATCAACGAAACAACGGTTACGGTAATAACACACGGACAAACAGACGGGGCCAAATCGACTCAACTTCTTCCTCAACCTTCTGTTACATTCATATAATAGGGTATAAAACTACTAGATCATTATGGGGTTCGTGCATCACAACACGATTTTTATAGCTTCTCGCCCATATAAAAAGTATTTAATTCATTTTCAGTGTAATTAAGTCTTTATTAAGTGTCATAAAATGTAAAAGTTAAATTAAGTATATACCATATAAATTTTAATATAAGTACATATGTTGGGATAAACTAGTGTCCATGAAAATTAAAAAAAAAATGTATATTACTGACTAAAATATGAATCGTCTCATGAATTATTCCCATAATAAGATATACTCCCTGTCAATTCAACTGGAGTGTCAAAACGATCTATGAATAATGCTTACAAGTGATTTTATATTTCTATTATTAGCTTTTTCATTTTTAATAGTGTCCCCAGATTAATTCAAACCGCTTGAAATTAATTCGTATTTTTGAGATATTTTTAGTTATTAACTGAATGTCAGCATTTTATTTTATATTTACTAATACTTCGCAAATAATTTTTAGAATTAACAGCTTTACTCCAATAAAAATGAATACTACAAATGTTGGGATTCATATATTTTTAGATTTTGCTAATCGTTCAAAATGAAAATTAGGTTTTTTTTATTTATTATTATTGTTTGTTTCTTTTTTTGATACAATAATGTTTTCTTGTTTGAGTATCGTTCAAATCAGTACTGTTAGCAATTAAAAACATGTTTGTTGCTTTGAAATTATTATTGCACCTTTATGTTTTAAAAGACTTATATTTGATTACTCTAAAGTCCGCCTGTGGAATTACGCTCTATTGAGTACATATGTACATGCGTTTTGTTCACCCTATCAATATATATGCCAAGATTCATATTAAAATCTAAATTTAAGGATATATATAATTATTTTTACACATAGATGTTTTAAAAAACTCATTTTGTTTTTTCCATATATATATGTACATTTTTTATATTATACTAAATTATAAATCTGAACACGCTCTCAAGCAAAATTAAATGTTAAACTATGTTTAAACGTACTTAAAATGGATCCTATATCTATTATATTATGGTACAGTTGTATGCTTTTGAATATACCACGAGGTTTTCGTCGTTTTTATTCAATTATTTCTTCTTTTATATTTGTATTTATTCGCTTAGTTTACTCTTGCCAATTGAATAGAATAGTACATTTTTTTCAAAGGATTTGTGATTATATTAAATATCATTCATATTGACTTAATTTACAATACAAATAGGAAAACGAAAATAAAGTATAGTTACAATTATATACTTCTATATATTTCTTGATGACAAAAACTAACATTGATTAAGACTATTACGAACTAATACTATTTGCCTTAAACTCGCCATCACATGCAGTAGAGATGCAAAATGATAACTTATATTATCCCGATTTAAAAATATTATCTACGATTTTTATACAGTAAATAAGTTTTCATAGACTGTGGAAGCTGTAATTGTTGTATACGCTCTTCCAAATTTACTCGACCAATTTTCTGTCGAATCGACCTCCGGCAAAGATCCATTAATGGCAAAGGTTCAGCTGGAAAAAAATTAAATAATAATATAAATAATTAAAGTATATAATTAAGCATATATGCATTATACAAGTATTTCATTTAATATTCAGAAGTGTTCTTAAATATTTCTAACTTAATACACAGTAGATAACAAATGTTAATTTCAAGTGTATTAAACTAGAAATATTTAAAAATATTTGTGAACACTAAAAAAATACTACACACAAATTTATATCTTCAAATTTAACTATAGGAACAAAGTTATGCCATTAGCAAATGCGAAATAGGAATATTTTAGATATCCTCAGAAACAATTTTGAATAGTTTTAGCCCATTCATGAGTAATAAATGAATGGTGTGTACCTGAATTTTATACTTACGATCTAATCCACCGATATAACGCATTGTTATCTCGCAGTGTCCCCATACAGCTGAAACAACTGGATATAGTTTTTTTCCTTTGAGGCCTTTAAATGCAATGCCTAGATATTGCTGATCAACAATAAAGCTTAATGTTCCCTCGTCCATATCTAAAGCAACTAAAAATTTGTCTGGGACCAAAAAAGCTTCATCATTTTTTAAAATTGCCGGATATGTGACGCCAGCCGAATTCTTCGAGTCATGATAAAGTTTATTTCTGCCCAAGTCCCAGCCCCAACTCTGGTCAGTAGATCCAACTAAACTTTGGTACCCAACAGAGTGCAAGGGTGCATCGCTTGATGCAACCCCTACAACTGCATGAGTACCCCTTTGCCTTGTTGGCCAATATATCTCCCACACATGTAATCCTTTTGTAAGCCCCACTTTTCCGCGAATGCAGTCAGTACTTTGTGCGACGGGATGTCTGTGAAATGTCAATTTATCATCTTCTTTTACGAATATATTTAACGATCTATCCTCTGAGTTCCATGAATGTTTCAGTTGAACTTCTCGATTTGCTGGGGGCATATCCAGCAAAATATCAATCCGAGCAGGTTTTAAGAAATCCGCTTGCAGTTCTCTTGGTATAATTGGCTTAAACGTCGCCTGAGAATCATTACGGTTAACTGTTTTAACGCCGCCACTAATTTTTTGACCCATGTTCATGCCACGGCAGCTTCGAGATCTCCTTTGGTCAATAGCAACTTTATAAGATAGTCGAAGACGTTCAAAATCCCTAGGTTCTAAACGAGATAGCACAACTCGCGGGGATAGTGTAGATGATGCAGAAAAACTTTGAGGACGTCGCCTATCACTTGACCTAACTGAAGGTGTCCGACCACCCTTATACCTGAAAAGATTCCAAATTAATTTATATGTTATTAACTACAAAAACTTATGCACATATAGGTACATGGTCATTATAAATGATAATTTTATTTGATTACATATATAAAAACCGTATAACTAAAAAGTCAAATTTTCATTTAAACGAAATACGCACTTATTATGTATAAGTGTACATAAAGATTTTTAGTTACAATAAAATCGAAGAGATAAACTCAAGTAGACATACATACATATGTACATAGTTATGCGTTCATTTCATAGACACAGCCACAAAAAAACAAACACACTCACCCACACTAAAGGAATAATTTTGAAGCTATAAGTTTAAATTAATTATATCAGCCTATACATATATGTGTATGTATGCTTAATATATATAAACAAATGTTACCTTTTTTTCCCAAGTTCCATTTACAATTACTTCAACTGGCTGTTCCAAATATGTAAATACAAAATGGCGTCAGCTACGGAACTTCACTAATTTACGGCTGTTTTATCACATACAATGCAATTTTGTTTCTATACTTGTATGCATTTATAATATAACATAATATATATAAAAATGCGCGTATAGTGATTGAAAAATTAAATTTTCTTGATTTATTCAAATCACCTTCTGCACTCAACCCCGCTTACCAAACTTCAATACGAGTTGTCAAGGTTGCTTAAACACATATACACATGTACTTGATTTTGTATATATGATCACAGGGTGAACCAAATAATATACGAATTTCAGTTATACGAACACTCTGTGAACATTAAATCTTTCCTAAACACACGGCGCATATTTATCGAAAACTTATTGAATTTTGCTTTTAAAATTTTATCTAATTGTATAAAACAATTTGTACATACAATATACATATACAATCGATACATTTTGTCGAAACAGTATGTAATTACGGAACATTTTTAAATACAAGAAAAGTTTGGTGACTTTAAAAAAATTGATGACTTACGCTTTGGCAAATGCATACATATGTATATATAATCATAATCTAAAAGTATCATGAAGATAGTCCATCCACAATAAAGGTTATATACCCTGAACCCATTGAGAATGGGAAATCATGGTATAATGGTTTTGTTGAAATGTATGTAACAGGCGGAAGAAGGCGTGGTATACATATATTGTGTATCAGGCCGACGAGCTTAGTCTATTTAGTCCTGTCCGTCTGTCTGTTCATCCGCCCGCATGTATGAACCCGTCGATCTCATAAGATATAATAGCTTGCACAGACTTTTCCTAGGTCCGTGTATATCACGCGCGTATTGAGTTTTTCTAAAAAAAACGATAACAACTCTCGATCTTTTGTTATCGATTAAAACGTTATCAAAAATTAGTTTGTTAATCATATCTCCAACACCAATAGAGCCAGAGCTTCCAAATTTTAAATTTAGACATATGTATTTTATAAAATTTCGATTCTTGTAATTTACCCCCCATACCTATATCCACATCCTCACCGTCATCTGCAAAAGGCGTATTTCAAATACTGCTTGCTGTCTGACTGTCTGGTTGTTGTTTTTTTTTTTTTTTTTTAATATTGTAAGCCCAAGCATCGCGGACGAACTAGCAAAACGAGCTATACTTACATACCGAAAAGTTCGATATGCACATGCCTGCACAGTAAAAAAGCAACGAATGAAAGAAACGATAAAGCATAATTCAAGTTTTGTTTTCGATTTAGCTATCAGCTAATGCTGGCACCATAGACTGTTTCAAGCTAGATTATTAATATTACTATTAAATACACAAACACATTTTCATCTTTTTAAGTTTATATCGTACTTAATATTGCAGTATATTACTGTCTAGAATATAAAACATTGTGAGTTTGCTTACTTGCTATTTCAGCATTTATTTTCAATTCTTAGCCAATTCTATCCTTATTTTTGCTCAACAACGGCGCTCAACGCGCTATAAAAATACCGTACAATTTTTTATACTTTTTTGCTCAAAGCGTAGGAAGTAAAGTAAAACAGAATACTTGGCGACTTTCAGTACCATTCGTTTCGTTTTGCAGCAATGCTTGCGATGCTCAAACACATGCAAATATCAGTATATTTGGAAGACGACCACAAAGAAGTATACCCATGCAGACCTCTAATACGTATCTATATTATAATCATAATCTGTTTCATGAAAATAGCCCACTTGCAAGAAAAATGATTAAACAATTAAGTTTCCATAGCAAGCCCACACTGCACTGTGCGTGTGTGCACACATGTCCGAATAATTTTTGATATATCAATTCGTCGAAGGGTTCAGGGAGTTTCTTAGTCGAGCAGTCTCAGGAAGAATTGATATTTCACAAAATTCTTCGAATCTTTCTACCTACAAAAGAAACACATACACTCACGCAAAGAAAAACATAGGGGTGCAAGCACAAACACGCATTGGCTGCAGATTGGGCTTACTATGGACACTCTATTGCTTAATAACTTGTCTTGTTGATAAGCTATGCTCATAAAACTTCCAGGTCGTTATCATACAACTAAAGTGTATGTACATATATGCAAAAGCACAAGTCTCTAGTATTTGATATACGCCATTTACAAAGGTGATGGTGAGGGGGCGGGGGCTAAATTACAAAATATATCGAAATAATATAAAAATAAATGTCTAAGATATATAATTAAATATCTAGCTTTCGAAAAGGTCGATATACACTGCACGTTAGCGCGCACCTTACATTCATTATACCCTGAACCCATTGAAAATGGGAAATCAGGGTATAATGGTTTTGTT